TATATATATATATATATATATATATATATATATATATATATATATATATATATATATAATTATGACTTGGAGGAAGGAAGAGCTAACCATTAGGAGAAACATTAAAATTTCATAAAGTTAAATCAGGGTAATTTGTCAAAATGTGCTGGATGGTTTTGTTTTTAAGAAAATTTTGACAGCATTTTACGATTATATAGAATGTATTTTTGAAGATCTGAAAAGTGAATTTCACTCTTTGCAGGTTCAGCGAAGTTTAAATCCAATACTTCTGTTACGAATATTGCTGATTGTAATTGGTGCTCGTGAGTTTAATTTACACAAATTGTGTTAAATTTTACGCAAATTTAGTCATGTTAGTTTAATTTGCCACAAAATTCTTGTGATAGTAATGGTTATTTCACCTTAAAATGAAACACTGGCCTATAAATTTTGAAAGAGACATGTCATATTGTTTAATGGATGAGTGATATTTTCTGGGTTTCATCGAGTAATGCGTCGCGTTATCTGTGCATTGATGCTATGGGCATATCTTTTTGTGGAGGGCGATGAACATGATCATCTATATCGTGATGGTGAAGAGGTTAGCAACAACATTCATTCACTCAGAATTCTTTTTCTATTATTACAAAGAAAAGCATTAGAATTTCATGAAATGAAATTTGGATAATTTTTCGAAATGTTTCTGATGACTTTGTTTTTAAGAAAATTCAAAGAGCACTTCACGGTTGTATGGGATATATTTTTGAGAGTCTGGCAAGTGATGCAGGTCCAGCGAGATTGCAGATTCACTTTTTTATGAACGTACTTATTGGACATGTCCATATAGTATCCTTTTTTTTCGAATAGGGAACCCCCGATCTCCGCTGCGGCATGGGGCTTTTGATAAAAGTTTTTCTTCACATTGAAATATTAATTTTATATATACATATCATTTATATAAATTCAGTAAGCAGGTTTTTTGCTTTCTCCTTATTTTTGCCAAAATTAAGATTGTATTATGGATGAATACGGTTGGTCCATACAGTAATCGGCAGGAAACTTACGCATATTTTTCACTACCTTTCTGCCGAGGGCCTAAGCACTCCATCAGTCATTATCACGAAACATTGGGCGAAGCATTATTGGGCGTTGAACTTGATTACTCAGGGCTGGATATCAAATTTAAAGGTTATTATTTGCAATTGAATCGTTGAAATTATTTTAGCCCTTCTAATAAATGAAAGCTGTTTTTGTTACTCAACAAGGCATTTTTTATAGAAAACGTGGAAAAAATGGAATTTTGTAAGAAAACCCTTAGTGAAGAGGACTATAAACAGTTCGTTTATGCAGTGCGAAATAATTATTGGTATCAGATGTATCTTGATGAACTTCCTATGTACGGTTGGTGTTTTATGTAGTCGCACTTTGTTTGTAAAAGCTGGAGTGGTCGCAGTTTGTGGAATTGTATTTGTGCGACTGTTTCCTAAATGTGATTATTTTGCTTTTCTGTGATGTAATTGGAAATAAGGCTAATTTTAGGTATGGTTGGTGAGATCGATTCAACAACAACACCACCAAATTATCGACTTTTTACACACAAAAAACTAGAAATCGGTTATAATGGGAAGCAAGTGAGTGATACTTTATTCTCCATCTAGTTATTCTAAGCTAGAATTTTATTTTTTCCATACCAATTGATTCTTGGGTTCTGATTTTAACCAATTCTGCTTTCACTAAACTAAATGGTTACCGCACTGAAGTTGTTTTTGTAAATAATTTGTTAACATTTTTTAAAGATTGTGGACATTAATGTGACCTCAGATGTGCGCGTCGCACTAGCGCCTGGTGTGTCGATTTCCTTCACATATGAAGTTGTTTGGAAATCTTCTGATGTTAGATTTGATAAACGGTTCGAGAAATATCTGGATCCGACTTTTTTCCAGCACAGAGTAGGTTCATTTTCGGAAACAAGATTTTAATTCAGTTTTTTTCGTGCGCTAGTTTCTAAATTTTAGATACACTGGTTCTCCATTTTTAATTCGTTCATGATGGTAATCTTTCTGGTTGGGTTGGTCTGGATGATACTCATGCGAACACTGAGAAAAGATTATGCTCGTTATCAAAAAGACGAAGATCTTGATGACATGGTAGGATGGTATTTTCATATTGTTTGATAGTTCCTCACTTTATTTTCTGCATCACCTTACATTTTTTGTGCTTCTTCCATAAATTTCTGATATACTGAAATATTTGTCATTATTTGCACAGAACCTGGAATATTCTGTAAGCAAATAACCTTTGGAGGATAGTAATATCCGATCGAATTTTTTTTTTACGTGAACCTTCTTTTCAGGAGCGTGACTTAGGTGATGAATATGGCTGGAAGCAGGTGCATGGCGATGTGTTCAGAACACCATCGTTTCCAATGCTTTTTTCATCGCTAATTGGTACTGGGTATCACGTGTTTACAGTTGCAATAATCACTATTATTCTTGCTATTATAGGCGAATTTTATATGGAGTAAGTTGGTTTTTTAAACAAACATTTGTATGATGGGACGTTCAGTACTCGATATCTTACATTATATGCCGAACTTTATATTCCACACTATTTTTTCAGAAGAGGGTCGTTGTTGAGTGCTGCTATTTTTGTATATGCTGCAGCATCTCCAGTGAATGGCTTTGCTGGTGGTTCAATGTATGCTCGATTTGGTGGCAAACAGTAAAATTTTTTTTTCAACTCTAAAACCGAGAAACTAATTTTGGATGGACTGATAAAGTTTTACTTATTAACTTTTATAGGTGGATACGTCAAATGGTACTTGGTGCATTCCTCTTGCCTTCTGTGGTATCATCTGTGGCTTTCTTGATTAACATTGTCGCAATATCCTACCATGCGTCAAGAGCCATCCCATTCACAATTATGCTCGCTGTCACCGCTATTTGCTTATTTGTCATTCTCCCGTTAACTTTAGTGGGCACTGTACTCGGTTAGTCACATTCCATATCGATTTGCTGAAAGATTGCTTTGTGAAACTTTAGTAAAACAAATTATATTACTCCAACTTTTTTGAGCTCAGGACGCAATGTGAAAGGACAGAGTAACAATCCATGTCGAGTAAATGCTGTTCCACGGCCAATTCCGGATAAGAAATGGTTTCTGGAACCATCACTGATTATTCTTCTTGGTGGTGTTCTGCCATTTGGTTCTATTTTCATTGAAATGTAATTCCTGTTTCTTAAAAAAGAAAGAATTGTATTACTCAGATTTCTGCTGTGATAAAATTTTCTGCTATGATAAAATAATCTAAAAAATTGCAGGTACTTTATCTTTACGTCATTCTGGGCATACAAAATATACTATGTTTATGGCTTCATGCTACTCGTTACTCTTATCCTTGCAGTTGTTACGATGTGCGTCACAGTTGTATGCACTTATTTCCTTCTGAATGCCGAAGATTATCGATGGTGGGCTTCCGTTCGAACTATTTCACTTTTAGATTTTCTTATATATCCAAAGCATATTTGTAGATTTCTACTTTAGATTAATAGTGACGATTTATTCAGGAGATGGACTAGCTTTTTAGCAGGAGCATCCACCTGTTTCTACGTCTATCTTTACTCAATTTATTACTTCTTATTCAAGACAAAGTTAGTTATTTTTGAATTTACTGTTCTATTTTGATTTGTGCAAAGTTTTGCTGAATTCTAACTAATATGATTCTAAAAATCTAAGAGTTTAATTTTCAGGATGTATGGGCTTTTCCAGACCGTATTCTATTTCGGGTATATGGGTTTGTTTAGCGCTGCCCTTGGATTTATGTGTGGCACTATTGGCTACTGGGGTGCCGCAAAATTTATTCATAAAATTTATTCAACGGTGAAAATTGACTAGATTTGTTCATGATTGGTTTTTCAATAATTTGTGCACAAAGGTTGCTGGATGGACTGTGGGTGACGAATTAATTTCATGTAATTTGTGAGCACCTATATAGAATGATTGGGTGTTCCATTTTATTTTGTTCTGGTATGGTAAACATTGTTTCTGGATAAGCATGGGGATTTTTCTTGATAGCTTAAAAAGTTTCCTTGTATAAAAAATTTGCTGAATATATCCCTACAAACTGTTTTGAAAGTAGAGTTTCCTTGTCACTACGGGTTATTGATACAATTTAGTAAAAAGAATAGTTTTGGCTTATTTATTTATAGAGATGTGATTGTCGACTTACGTTTATATTACTGTTTACGGACTCAAAAATTTGGGTTCTACTTTAGGGAGAAGTTTTATAATCAAATGAATTGTTTGCTGCATTACATAATTATCTATTATTATCGACCCAAGAATTGGTAATCTATGTTGTGGCTGTGCCGTGAAGTTGTTTAACCGAATATTTGTAAATTCCATAGGTAATTACTTTTAAAGGCATGTGAATTATCCGGACTTCATGAAGGACTTGCGGGATTCGCTTTCTTAAGTGGAATTCCGAATTTTAATCCATTCATCCGGACTTGAAAGTAAATCACTTGTTTGTATATCAAATATTTATCGATGCAAAGTGTTGGAATGTATATTTTGCCATTTCCTTGTTATCAGTTTTTTCTTCCTGGTGATAAAATCTGTTTTTCACATGGATCACATTCTTTTCAGCAACATTTCTGATGAAAAGGTAAGTAATTTTATATATAACCTGAAAAAGCATTGACGAAATAGTTGAGCCATACGTTTTGCTTATTTCAGAAAATTCGAACCACTACAGCGCTTCTCATGTCAAGTTTATACATAGTCAACCTACACCGGTGGTCGTGTTTAGATGAGGTGTATAGGGGACGAAATAAAAGAAAATCGTAAGTGTGTCCTTGAGTTATTTTTTTAAGCATATTTAACTTTCCTCCTGTGGGTTGTGACTTTTCATTGCGAGAGTCTTCATGTTCAGTTAATGGAAGTTTCACCCTTGAATTAATAATTATTAAAATGTCAAGTACCGAAGCCGCAATAGATGCTTAGTAACGCGCAAGTACAGGGATGTCTCAATCTCGAACTCCAAATGGTTTCATATTTCTCGGAACAGGTTGATACATTTCTGAACGGAGTTGTTTTAATACTCTCTGATATTCTTACTTTCAATCATAAAATCTGGGACGTTTTCTTGATATGATTATTGTTAGGATGTTTCATAAAAGCATTCTGATGAGGTTTATTTTGGAAGTGGCACCAGAAATTATCCCTGCCTGCTCATTATTCACTTCCGGTCTATTAACTTCCAATTTTACGAGGTATCTTTAGAAGTGGGAAGTAGCGTAGTGCGGGTAAGAAGAATAGCAGATGCACTGAAGAAATGTTTCAGGAAGTCGGGATGGATGGTTTCAATGACTGCATTATGCTTGTTTATTTGATTGTGAGTCAAACTATTTCTTATCAGCCAATGTCACCAATCCCCTAAAATGTCGTCTGGTGATAACTATTGCCTTTGACATCTGTTAATAACATCCATTCTCCTATCAATGCTAACCAAGATGGTAGGAAAAAAAATGCTACATCACGGAAAACCGATGTCTTCGTACATTGCTTCTTAGTAAGTAAATCGATTGATGCGAACGAGAGCACCATGTCAATGCAATAACAAATCAATCCTTTTGGTAATTCATTGCATGCATATATGATAATCGCATTAGTTCAGAAACTCCTAAATTGTCTGTCGTTTGGTGTTTGGGAGTTGCTGTTTGATTAGACATCAAAGAGCGATTCGATGGGACCCGTGTATTAATCTATTAACAGTGTTCGCAAACTCTTTGTTCTCTGTGTTCCGATGTTTCATTGACATGACTACCGGGTTAGTTTTTCTTTTTTTTCCTGTTTAAATTGGCTGGAAAAGTCAAAAGTGTGAAGTTGGAAGGTGGGCAAAGGAGAGACGAGAGAAACGTCGTCTCAAACTTCATAATATTTCAGTTTTTCATCTATCCTATCGTTTTGAAGTTTTGTTCTGTTGGTTATTGGTAGAAGCGTTTTAGGACTTTTCAACAAGAGATACTCTTTTAGTCATTATGAGAACTCGTAATTCAGTCGAGATTGGTGAAATTCTGTTCAAAAATCATTTCATTCAAAAATCATTTCAGTCTAGGTCGGATTTCATATTTTTATACAGCAACATAAAAACAAGAATTTATTGGAGTTGTTCAGTTCCTGATGCTCGCAGTTCGAAGTCAGAACTTCAGAGTCATGAAATAAGATTTCCTAGCACGACTTGTGATCCTTTTGCAGCAAATTTTTTGAAAGAGGATTCTACATAGGCAATTAGCATCAGCTGAAATAAAGTTGGAGAGAAATGATGCGACAAATTCCGAGCAAGGAAGAAAATAGCGTGTGATGTGATGGTCGCGGATTGTCCTATCAGCAGGTGTTTTATTTGTTAAAGAAAGTGACCTCTACGGTGGGTTGACCTCTGTCTCTTCTACAGCCATTAACATAATCCTTTGCTCCGGGTCCTCAATCGTCTTCTTTCCTTTCCCCCTTTCCTCCATCTTTCCTTCCTCCCTTTCCATTCATTCAATCGTATGTTTGCATTCTGACGGTGGTGACTGCGCACCCCATTTCAAACTCCTGCTGCATATCACTCAGGAAACATTGATTACCATTTCAGCACACAAATTTTTATCCATTCCCTCTTTCCCATCAGTTACTACTTACTGACTCAGTTGTCAGTTCATCCGTCCCCATCCATTCATTCATTCATTCATTCATTCATCCATCCATCCATCCGTCCAAGCATTCCACGCATTCGATAGTTTGCTTCAGTAGCTTTTGATTTCTCCTATAAAATTTATTTTTTTACAAATTTGTAATACTCGCAGAATAATGGAAGTTCTAAGAAAGCAGGATTTTCGTGTTAGTAGAGTGCAAGGTCTGATTTGATTTTGCAGATTTTGTCAGCTTTTATCTTGTCAAGGTTTCCATCGTTCATAACAGATCTGGAAAACGCCTTTGGAGAGATAGGGAACGTACATTCTGGCTAGTTTAACTAGAAAATGAAGTACTGAGGTGCCTGATGTGGGTTTCTATCTGTTCATTTGTTTTTATGTCATCTTCCGCTGCATCCCCCTTCAAATCTCGAATACACATACGAGGATGGAACTGCTCCATTTTCCTCACTTTTTCCACCTCCTGATATCCCTTCATTTATCTCATTGACAGTTACTTTATCTTACTTTCATTACTAACAAAAAAGCCATCAGGAAAAGATTTATGCTATCACTGATTCCATTGTCTTTTGAGTAACGACTTTTCGTGTTTGTGCTTCATTGACCCATAATCCAAGGATAATTCTCTGATGTTGTCACGGAGCGGAAATTTAACATGTGAACCAGAGGAACTAGGTAGGGTCGAGTCTAGCTCGATTCTTCCATCGAGCACATACACCACATACAACCACAGATACACATACACACACACAAACATACAGATACACACACATACACATATAGACACACACACACACACATACACATACACGTACATACATATACATTCATTCTGTTTCATGCAGGCATTCATACACGTTCGTTAGCAGTGGATGTACCTAAAAGCGGACATATCCTTCAACCTCATCTTCAGTTCTCTGGGCTACCGTTGATTTCGAGAGATATGTTATCGACAGTGATCAGTGATACTAGATATATCAGCCCATTCACTAACAGTGATTGTCTCGTTGCAGTAGGGAAGCGTTGTACCTCTTAGTGTGTTACCGTTAAATTCAGAAAAAATCGATAATGTTGTATTAATAAGTTTGACAAGCAGTTGTTGCTCCACGACATTTTGCAGTTGTCACTTTTATTATTGATATGATGCGAAAATCGATGTTGTTGTGTAAGGTAGCATTAGAGGATGCTGTTATTTGCATGTTTATTATTTTTCGTGGAGACTAGGAGGGAGTAGAGATCGCTGAGAATGGTGAGGGATTTGTACTAAATAGAAGTTTCTGGGAAGTAATTTCAGTTGATTCCGGGGAGTTCCGCTCCCACTCGTACGCTGATAACGATGTTTACATGTGCAAGATTTGCGCAATGGTTGACAGATGGTACGAGAGGGACCGTCGCTTCATCTGGTCAGAATGAGTTCTGGTTTGTCGGTGACTTGGTCTTTTTGTTTGCACTACTTGTTGAAAAGAGAATGATTTGGGTCGGTAAGTGGTCGGAGGTGAGGAGAGGGAAAGGTGAGAGTAAGTAAGGATGTGGAAGTTGAGAAAACCGAAATGAGTTTCTTGTAGGTGATTTACTAATGATTGACTTCTGAGTAAATTTTGAATGTTATGTTTATGGAAGAGATGAGGTTATGGTAGGTGCGCTAACAACAGCGAGGATAAAGGAAGGGGACAGTCAACGGAGAGAGGGGAGTGACAGGACACGGGTGTGGGTGACTGCTACTACTAACAATGGGCTTTCGAGGTAGGAGTGTTGCTCTGTTGATTAGTGTTGCTGGGCTCTCCTGCTGTGTCTTTCCTCTATTCCTGAGTTAGTGAGTTGATAAGTGCTATCAGAGACTAACTGGGCAAGGGGTTACTGCTGTCGTCGTCACTGCCCTACAACACCACTTCCACCAGCCATCAGCATTACCTCCCTTGCTACTACTTCGATAATAGGCGAAGCAAGCAACAGAGGGAGGGAACACTGCCAATCGAACCTCAATCATCGAAACATCATCCATAGAAGAGACGCGACGAAGGCGTAGCTGTAAACGAAGGCGAGAACGGGACAGAGGTGTTGTAGAGAGTGATTGATCGAGATCGTTGTTCTTTGTGACAGATTATGTTGCTCGCTACTGACGATGAGATATTATTATGTCTTCCTCATCCTTCATCTCTCTGTCCTCTTCTATTTTCTAATCTACGTCAGCTACGTGGCCAATTGATGCATTAAGCCATGATGCTGCTGATGATACCATTTTGATAAATACTGATCGACATTCTGACTTCCACCCTTATTGTTATACTCTCCGGCTCTCATTAATTCAATTCCTTTTAAATAGGATTTCCCGGGAACCCGAAAAAAAAATATTGATGCGTTAAAGCGTGCTAATTAAAATTTAATGAATTAGAAAAAGTTGGAAGCATGCTTTACGGGCTTGGGTAATATGCTCCCAACTTTCTAGCTTTACGGTATTCATGCACCCCTCATCCAGAGGTAATCTAAAATTTGTTACATTCTTTGAGTGAATGTATCATTGTAGGTAGTGGAAATCTGATTAGTTTGTGTCGTAATGGTGATGATAAAAATGAAAATGATTGGTCCGATATCGTTAGCTTATTTTCGCCTACTCGTTACCGGTCCTACCTGATTAGTAGCGTGAAACATCTGGCTATGACATGCTTACTGCTATACTTATTGGTTGCATAAATTAGTGAGTGCCTTAGTCGAAGCCCACCCTGCAAGCTGCTAGACGTTGTTAATGGCGTTTTTAGTTGATGTGGTCATTGTTATTTGGAAGTTTATCAAGTGATTGATGTTAGTTCCTAAGTAAATTTGCATGAAGTGAAATGTTCAACCTGTGGTGACACTTCGAACATTATTATTAGCACTGTTACTGTAGTGTTATGTCATGTTATGTTAATGTTATGTTGATGCTGCTGCTGCTGAGTGGCGGTGGTTGAAGTTAATCAGTCGCAGGTGCGAAATGATCAGTGTCTAACGTTCTACCTGTATTGCGTTCATACAGCTTCACTATATCTTTCTAGAGCTCTTTCATTGATTTGAAACTTTGCTTGTAAGCCGTCGGATTGCTTTTCCTTCCGTGATTCATGCTGACACTTCACCTTTTTATGCTTTAACATTTCCTTTTGAAGCTGTCAAACTGTTCCGTTACTTCGTGTCACATCATTTTAAAACCAACTTTATCCTGTTAGCTTTCCGCCTTATGTAACGTCTTTAAGTTAACCTCACTAAATCATTCTTAGAGCTAACGGTTCATAGTAATGACTTGTGGTAATCAATTTCAGCCTTGTCCAACGCATAGCCTATCTTCCTTATTTTTAACCCGTTCTGTTTGCATTTTATTGCTTTGTGGTATCTCATCTGGGAAATATTTCCTTTACAGTTGACACATAAATACCACGGCATCAAAAACAATGCGAACTGTTATCTCCCTAATGGTCCATTAAGATGAGGTATTTCAACTATCGCGTGGGTTTGCCATGTTTACTGACTGCTTGGGTTGTACTCATCATAATTTGTGTTTGTGTCATCTGTTGTGCGAAATATCCACATGGTTTATTCAAAGCTGAGACATATTCTTAGCGTAGATGGTCACTGTTGCTTACTGTTAATGCCACTTGTTCGTCACATTTGCTTTGTAAGCTTATTTAATGCCGCATATTAATAGGCAGTAAGTTTTGGTTGTCTTGCATAAGTGTTTTAGTTGTGTGCGGGTCATACGTATTGAGAAGTTGCTCAGTACTACTAAAATATACTATTCAGTATTATAAGTCGGCTGGATTCAGATTTTATGATAGCGTCATGAACTGCATCCGGAATGCTTTCCTTATCAGTTACCCTATCGGGACAGCATCTACTTTGCATGGTAGGAAGTAAAGACTATAATATTGATGCTATATCGGGAATTGTTTTTTTCACTGTTCAGAAACTGATATGCACCACAGAATAGCATATCAGTTAAGGTTAATGATGTAATCATGTCGAAGGAATCGTCGATTTGTAGTTGGTGACGATGAGCTCATGGGATGGATAGGTCGTGAGGTAGGAGGTAGGGGGTTGGACAATCGGAGATATGCAAATAAATAACAATGAGAGGATAACCTCTGCGGCATATGAGAGGCGTGCCTATCATTTGGTGACATATGTATGATTGACCTGTACGACACACAGTGGAAAATATTCGTGGTAGCAGGTAGTGTTGCAGTTGCTGCTGGCACTGAATCCATCTAATACGCAACTGAGCAAATAACAGTTCGGTGTGCTAACTAAAGTGACAACTTCATGTTCTTATCGTTCGACGACTAACCTAGGTGACAACGTACTCTCCCCGCTGGTCCCACTCTTCCTCCTTTTCCTCCTCCTCCTTCTCCTCCTTTTGCTCCAAGTGACCGTGTTGTGAACTGGTTTTGCAGAGGGTACTGCTGGTGTTCATTGATGTGACTCATTGAGTATTCCTCCATCTTCCCGTTCCCTCCCTATTCAACACTTACAGCGCTGTTCATCTTCGACTTTACAGACTTTACATTGTTCAACGAATTTTTATTCCTACTTCTCGTTATCACTACTTCAAATTCAGATTTCCATTCTCTGGATGTCTAATTTTCTCTGTGTAGTCCAAGCATGTAATTATGTTTAGTTGTTATGATCATCAGATTACTACTTTTTACTTTCTCTGTAATCCAGTCTTCAAACTCTCTTGTTCGTGGACGTCACTGTTAGAACAGTGCTGTTGTTTGTTATCCGCATGAATTCGATTTGTTCGTGGTAGTACTGAGATAATAAGTATCTATATCGTTTATCACCATATTTTTGTGCTAAAATATAAGTTGTTAGATCGTCTTGCGAACCGTCTCTTCTCCTTTGCATTTCACCATCACTATTATGGACTTATTGCCTGTTCCGGTTTTCTAAATCACATTGTTTTGGATTTTGTTTTGAAGATAACAGAAAGTGACGTCATTCTTTTTTTGTTGAAGGCACCATCATCGATCTCAGCTGAAGAAACGTTGGAGATAGAACTCTCTGTGAGTGCATGTGTGTGCAGCAAGAATGACAATGGTTGCTTCCTCGCCTCTCCCATTAACTACAAATATGGGTTGTGCATCATGTCGGCAACTTCACGCTGATATAAAGGTTTGGTTTCAATAATCTATAATTTTTGACAGTTACTTGAAAGTTTCTCTACGTAAAAAGATGAAATCTGTGCAGACAATCGTCTATGGCCAATGCCTCTCACTTGGAACAAGATCGGTAGTTTTTTCCTACAGTTCTTATTGTTGCAAGAAAAATTAAGACTTACCATTGATTGGTAATACAAAATATTATTTACATATAATCCATTTTGGATTATATGTATCCTTCGATCCATTTTGGAGTTTAGGACTGCGTTGCGCAACTGTCTGATAAGCTGGATCAATTACGTGTACGGGTTGAAACATTATTTGCACTAAGGCAACCTGGATATGGAGTTGACGTAGCGGTGAGCGCCGAAGATGACAAAAGTACGGCCGAGAGATCGATAACTTTGAAAGATGAAGTGGTAGGTATGACCAACTTTATTTAAGGACCTGATTTTGTTGCTGAAATTTAGCACCATCGCAACAAAATTTGTTGGTAGTTTTTTTTTTCTTCATTTTTCTTGTTATCGGAGTAATTTCGTAGCGGAATATGGTCTTTTGATTGAATTGCAGCATCCTTTCGATGTATTTGATGCATTGGAAGATGGACCTGGTCACACTTTTAAGTTTTATGTGGTTTTTTTGCAGTTAGTTTCTAGTTCCATTCTGTGTTTTTAATATTGTCAAGTACTTCAGTTATTTGCATTATTAAAGCATCTAAGCCGTTTGCACAATAATTACAAGATACTCTTTTTCATTCATTCAGATTTAAAATTTGATTTGATCATAAAATCGAGAACTATTTCATTTTGATTTGTTTCAGGTCTCGGAATGTGGAACAGAGGAAAAAGAGACACCATCGCCTTCACTGCTTGAGAATAGTGATACAGCAATAGGAAACGCTGAAAGGTAAGTCTTTTTTTCTTGCTTAATATTAATACTTTCGTCGTAACGTCAGTGTTCCTGTTGGTCTTGGATTTCTGGTTCAGAGCAACATTCATGAAGAATAGCTCAGTCGTTCAATTTTTAGTGAGGTGACGCCAACAGATAATCACAATCATGCACTGAGCGGTAGCAGGAAACGAAAACCAAACAGGGAAGCAATACATAGAGTAGAGAAAGTTAACAGCAGTAACAGTTTGCTTGCTCAGAATCTGGTAAGTGTACAACTCTGTCTTAGAAAACATATTGTTACAGTACTCAGTTTTTATCAGATGTTCGGGATGCGTTTAATGGTTGTATCAGAGTAGGTTAATTTGAAGTACTGAGTGGGGTATTTTAAATATTAAGAGATGTGAAAAATGTTTTGGTACCGCTATATCACACCGAACGTGCCTTCTAAGCTGTTGGCATGCATCCTCGGCATGATATTGAGAATAAGATTCGAAATATATAGTGAATATTGGTTATTTTTCTGAATGGATCATTCGATTCTTTTCCACTTGGATATTCCTGGGTTCATTTTATAGCAGTAGTGTTACATGAAACATTTTACTAATGGTACAGTTTTTTCTTTTAAAAATAAATGTCTTTGATATTCCCATACGTTCGAAACCGATTTACTGCAGGATTCAGTTGCAAATCAAAGGCCAATAGAATCAACCGTAAAGACGGACGGTTTCATGTATCCAGCGGCAGCACTTTTTGACTCTTTTTCACTGGCCGCAAATTTGATGGCCACTGGCGGAGCAAACGCAGCGGCGCAGCAAAACATTCTTTCAATGCTGTGCCAGCAGCCAGCCACAGCCCATCCTCCTACTTCGTCTACACCAAATAGCACCGAAGATGGCGTGAATGACCTCATAATGGAAGTAAGCTCTTTCTTGGTTTCTAGAATTTGAGTTTTCAATATTTGCGAATAGGTAAATGATTATTTTTCATGAAGGGAACTTTTTAATGGGTTTTAATGGAAATGACTGTCTTGATAATTTCTGATGAAATAAACTTCTATTAATTCTTTGTGGTAGACTTCGATTTGTGATGTATTAAGGTACGCATTAATGTTGTTTTTGAAAGACATTAGTTTGGAACAAAAAGCAACTCCATTACTTTTGCTTACATGTTCTTCCAAATTTGAGATTTCTTCTCAGGAGGAGGAAGATACAAGTAACAGCAACAACAATTCTCCATCGATGTCGCGATGCAGCAATTGTTTGACAACAAAGACGACAGCTTGGAGGAGAGATCAGACTGGTAAATTAGTATGCAATGCGTGCGGCCTCTATTATCGTTTACATAGGGTAAGTTTTTATTAGTTATTGGTAACTGGTTAACATTTTCATTTACCGCGAATGGTTTTATCATCAACTTTCTTTGTTTTTTTCCTTCTTTCCATATTTTACTTATTCTTAACTCCTTATTACATAAAGTTCATCTTGCTTGGATGCTTAGATATACTAAGTATTTCTTTCGTGTGGAAGCTCTTTTCTCTTACGTAGGGAACGTCATATTTTTTCCCAAACAATGCTTTATCGAATTGTATTGTTATTGTGCAGCAGCTGAGAAACTTTCTGACTCGTCTCATACTTTTTACTTTCACTAGATAAATCGGAGGGTGAGTATTTAATGTTAATAAACGAATTTTACAAGTTTTTACAGACAAATCGACCGGTACATATGCGAAAGGATATCATTCAGCAGCGTTTCAGACGTCGTGTCAAAGAAGAGGATGCCGCGTCTGCTAATCCACAATCAGTCCTTTCGTCACTAATTTCCATTTCACCTTCAGCTGCAGCTACATTTGCACTTCTAGAACAACAGCATAATACATTGCAAGGGAATTTCAGTGGACAACCATTATTTGAACAGCAGAATGCATTACAAGCCCAGAATCAAACGGCACCCATTTAAATATGGTAAATTTAAATCCATAGGTGATAAGTGGTCCTTCTTCCTCATGCAGAAAAGCGGCAGAAGTTACTTTTCTTTCGTTTTTCTTTTTTTTTTGTTTTTGTTTTTTTCTTTGTTTTTTTGTTTTTTTCTTTTTTTTTTTTTTTTTTTGTTCTTAAATTTTGTCTAGTATTAATTACGTTCGTATTTTCGTTATTTTAATTCTTGGTTTTATTGTTCTATTTTTTTCTTTCTTCTTGGTTTTAGTTAAGTTGTTGTA